AACTAAACGAATTGCATATAGCCTTTCTTAATGAAACAGAATATGTAAGCACGCAGTTGATAGGAGACACTATTCCAATGTTTAGTTCAGATGAATAATTATCTTACCTCCACATGTCCTTCCCATGACGACGACAGGTTATTGTATATCCGGATAATTCGCTTCTTCTCAATACAAAAAAAATAATTTTCGTGAAGCAACAGGTGATAGATGGCGCAGTAACATATTTAACCAACAGATGCCGGCCGCTATTTGGCCTCATCGCGATGCGGCCTTATTTTACTGTGTATGCATGCGTGGATGCAGCAGAATTTTATTTTATTTTTTTTTTTTTTCGGGGGGACATAGTCAAGGCGGGGGACATTTGTTGTCAAGGCGGCCGCCCTAACTATAAAGCGCTGCGGGAAACCCTGACAATGCTCAAGACAGATTTTCGTCAATTTCGGATGTCCAATATGGCTGCCGGCGGCTATTTTGTCTGAAATTTTTTATATTCCGGGCTCTGAAGGCCACAATTATTACAGGAATGTTTTCAAATTTTACACAGGCAAAGATATGTATATGACAATGCTCAGGACCGATTTTGGTCAATTTCACACGTCCAATATGGCTGCCGGCGGCCATTTTGTCGGAAATTTTTTATGTTCCGGGCTCTGCAAGCCACAATTATTACAGGAATGTTTTCAAATTTTACACAGGCAAAGACATATATATGAAAATGCTCAAGACTGATTTTCGTCAATTTCGGACGTCCAATATGGCTGCCGGCGGCCATTTTGTCGGAAATTTTTTATGTTCTGGGCTCTGGAAGCCACAATTATTACAGGAATGTTTTCAAATTTTACAGAGGCGAAGATATATATATATATATATATATATATATATATATATATGACAATGCTCAAGACTGATTTATTACAATGCTCAAGACTGATTTTTCAATTTTGGACGTCCAATATGGCTGCTGGCGGCCATTTTGTCTGAAATTTTTATGTTCTAGGCTCTGGAAGCCCAATTTTTGTCTGAAATTTTTATGTTCGGCTCTGAAAGCCATTTTGTCTGAAATTTTTTATTACACACGTTTTTAAATGTTACGCAGGTGAAGATATATATATTACAATGCTCAAGACTGATTTTCCTCAATTTTGGACGTCCAATATGGCTGCTGGCGGCCATTTTGTCTGAAATTTTTTATGTTCTAGGCTCTGGAAGCCACAATTATTACAGGAATGTTTTCAAATTTTACACAGGCGAAGATATATATATGACAATGCTCAAGACCGATTTCTTTCAATTTCGGACATCCAATATGGCTGCCGGTGGCCATTTTGTCGGAAATTTTTTATGTTCCGGGCTCTTGAAGCCACAATTATTACAGGAATGTTTTCAAATTTTACACAGGCGAAGATATGTAAACGACAATGCTCAAGGCCGATTTTCATCTATTTCGGACGTCCAATATGGCTGCTGGCGGCCATTTTGTTCGAAATTTGGGGATCGGGGAGATACACAACGCAGCCCCTGTGGCGAGCCAGTAATCTACTTGTTTCTTTATTGTATATTGTGTCTCATTGCCTTTATGTTCTGTCCTTATGTGAGCTCGTGCAACCACTTTCCAATGCAATTCTACCGCAAATGGCAAATAAATTGACTCTGACTCTGACTCTCTGTAGTACTACATGGGGCCAAGGGAAGTCATTGTATGAATTCACAGCACATATGAATGATACTGTCTTAACATGACAAATTCCTTTCTGAACTTACCACTTAGACTTTCAGCCAAATTTATTTGGTTAGCCACCGATCCCAGCACTGGAATATTAAATTCAGAAAACATTTACATGCATCCATGCGCTGTATGCACTACACCCATCACCACTGCTGTATGCTTTTCTTTTGCAGTACACTCATAGCAGCCTGTAAAGTCAAATGCTTGAACTGTTTTACAGTAAAACTTGAGCTTCTTGCCAGCTACCATATATCTGTGTATCAGTATATCAGTGAATGATTTCAACTCAAGACATTCAAATTGCAGGGAACACTTTAATATTATTATAACAAAGCAGAATGAAGTATCTAGGGTAGTTGGTCAGACTCTTTGAGTACATCAGAGCCAGTTTTAAAATGAGCATTTTTGAGTTGAAGACCCCTGTGTGCCTATTGTACCCCCCGGTCAAAGTCGGGCGGCTACTATGGATTTATGCTTGTCGTCTCCGCTGCTGCTGCCGCCGCGTCTGCATCCATAGACACTTCCTTGTAGATGCTCAATAGGCTGTAATTTTTGACCGATTACTTGCATATTTGGTATGGACATGTGTTATGGTTCACTTACGACACCTATCGATTTTGGTTGCCAGTTGCGACAATATTGGCTGGAGAAAGGGGAGAAAAAAGCTTTCGGAGGCTACACCCATGCGGTTGCGGCCAATCGGACTGTCTAGTTTGAACTTCAGAAATGGCTATTTATTTGAACTTTGCTTTAATTTGCATTTTTTTTTATTGTGAGATCTATATTTGTGGAGCTGAATTATTATCCTGCTTAAAGTTTAGAAGGCAAAATATGCCCAGTATTACATGATAATACTGATGATAAACATGGGTATGTTGCGGATATATTGTAAAATAAACCAATCAGTGTCATCTTCCATTCCCTTTAAAGGCCAGGTGTGCTTGCACCGTGGTATTCTTATGGCAGATTTGCCTGGTGGTATGAAAAATACTTCTCGGCAGATGAAATGTATGGGCTTGTGCTGAAGTGGTTCATGTACCCTTTGCCCATAGCTGTGTCGGACTTGCTTGATAACACAAAAAACAAATGTGCAATTTTTTTATTTTGTTTTTCCTTTTTTTGTGTAAATTAATTTAAAAAAAATGTAAATCCTCCTGCTTTTCTTGTTTTTGCCTTCAAATTGATGATTGGAATAGAAATTAAACAAAAAACAACTCGTTTTTCGCACGTATTGTCACATCTATATGATTTTCCCCTACTGGAGCTCTACAAAAATATAGTTATATTGGTTATGCTTGTGATAGATAGATAGATAGATGTTGCCATTTGATATAATGATAGATAGATAGATAAAAGTGAGAAAAAAATTTTCAGTTTTTTAATTTCTATACCAATTACCAATTTGAAGATGAAAACAGGAGAGGTTTTTTTTTTTTTTTATTCACGCAGTAAAACTGAAAAACAAAATAGTGCACATCTTGTACAACAAATGTACATTTTTTTATCCTGATCTGAGGCAAGCTGGTTTGGACAGAGGGTACACTGACCTGAAGGAAGACAAAGTGAAGTTTTCATTTGTTTTTTTGATAAGGGTAATTTCTCTTAATTACAGCTTTGGTCCTCTTGAAAATGGTTTTATTCAGTCGTAGAGTAACAGGTAAAATTAGCGGCATTTTAATTGCTGTAAGTATGAAAGTCTGATTGGTGTTGGCGTGTTGTGCTCCAGCCTACACAGGGGCACAGGGCATATCTTACTAATGTGCCCTTAAAATAACTGTAAACTTCCCACCATTCACCACTAGGGCCACGGTTTGCTAGTCAAACGTATTGCATTCTTACTGCCTGAAGATAGCAATGCGCCCACAGTGCACCTGACTGCACCTCATTTTGAGATCAACATGCCCTTGGGTGCTCAGATGGGTGCAAGTACATTTGGAGTTTAAACAAGATGGACAATGGATGGGATGATGACAACTGCGTTAGCCTGAAACTAGCCAAAAGCGGTGCGTTGTGCCGGGTGCTGCTCGATGTAAGAGAGAGCCCTTGGATGTCTAAGACTGGACTCTAGTGAACTAGCATTGATCCTTAACTTTGCTAGGAGAAAAGGCAGACTTGACTTTTTTTTCTCTCCAACTCATTAGTTTGTTTCCTTTTTTCTGAAGTGAAACTGTGAAAAAATTTGGTCTGTTGGTTTATCAATTTTAAGGAACTTTTTCAGTGAATCCCTTCCTATACAAAGCAGAAGGAATTCCTGTGTATTGTCAGTTTATCTCTTGCTTGTGAGACATGCTCGATGTCAGATAAGTGAAAATAAGAAAATAATTGGGCTTTTTGTAACTTAGGTTACTGTAATAATGTTTGAAAAGAGTCCAGGTATACTGTATATTACAATCTTCCAACTACCATTACATGTGCGATATCATTGCAGTATCAGTCTCTTAGTTGCTGAACTATCTGTTTCCGCATATGGTAGATCTGTGTGAAAAATGCTATATAAATACTCTGAAACAGCACATACAGGTACATTAATTAGTCTTTTAACTCAAATGATTGATTGAAAGTGCAATGATGTTTGTCTTTCCCTTTGCCTTTTGTGAACTGGGAAAGCAGTGCAGTGCGCTATATGGCACAAGTTGTGCAGACGGGTGCTTTGATTGTCATTTCCTCTTACGCGCAGCAGTAAAGTCTGCTGTGACCTCTGGGGAGAAATGAATTGAAGTCCTGGCAGCTGTTTGAGAATTCAAAAGGAACTCAGATTCTCAGAGGTGTTCCGGGCTCATGAGAAGGGTACTACCAGGCCTTTTCTTTTTTTTTCATTTGTATTTGTTTTGTCACCACGACAAGCTCATTCTCACCGCGCAAAAATCGTGACCAAATGCAGTCAATTTCATGCATTACAGCGCAGCAACTATGTATCATTGGCATAGTGACATTATTTGGATGTCATTGTGTGGAGATAATTGACAGAAATGGGTAGTCTTTGGCGTAACAGGTCAGAGATGTGTGTAACAATGTGAGAGCAAGACCTGTGAGGAGTACGATTAAGGAAGAGAAAAGTGAAACACGTACATGCAATACACACTTCAATATTCAATAATGCTCTTTTATGTATCTTTCATTTTCTTCTCAATGTGGCATGAGTAGTTATTAAATTGCCAATTTATACCGTCACTGCTTAGGACTGGAGGCAATTCAGGCAATTTATCCCTGAAGATTACTCCAATATGGAATCGAAACACTGTCTTCAAAATATTAATTGATCTTCCAACTGGACTCAGTATCTCAGTTGGTATAGCAGTGGGATGGAATCCCTAAGTCACGAGTTCGATCCTCACTTGGGTTTCGATTTTCTGATCTGGTCTTTAGCGGTGTCAGTATAAATTGGGAATTTATCCCGAAGATGACTCCAATATAGTTATTAAAATGCCCCAGAATTAGTAAAATGGCAAGGTAAGTGGTGAATTTAAATTAGAATGGACTTCTGCGGGAAATTTGAAAATCTATGATGCTAATTTCCAGTGCTTAAAAAGTAAAATACGAATGGGTTATATTTTCAAAATTGAAACAAGTTTGGTTGAAGTTTACTGAGAGTGAAACAAGCATAATATACTAGCCTAACTTCCTCTGTTTTCAACCTGTGATTACATGCTAAATAGGTGTTATATTTGAGAGTGCCTCCAGGAATAAAGTTATATTATTTACAAATAAGCAATATAACTTCTATAAATGTAAAACGTATTAATTTTCCTTCATACTTCTATCCAGCTTGTTTTGCCAGTGCATCGTAAACGAGACCCCGCATTAAAAATATCCATTATTTTGCCCTTGAGGTTAATGAGAAGTAGATGCTCTATACTGGGAAAAACCCCTAAAAGCCCTGGCCTAAATCCTAAACCATTTCACTCAATCATATTCTCTCTCACCCCCTTCTGCCTGTCAAGACAGTGCATCATGTGGAAATGAAGCTCACCTCGAAAGCCTCATTGCCCTCGCAGTTTCTATCTTTAGCGACTTACTTCAACTCTTGTCATTTCAATCCCGTTTCATAGCCAGCCAGCACAAGTGCACCTGTAGACGTTGCTTTTTCAGCCTAGCTGCTCAGGGAGGCCACGATGTGTCAGTGTGTTTGGCAACGGTGCAGGTCGTCTGGCGGGTCACTGTGAGTATTAGCTGGCCCGGTGGCCCAGCGCAGAGGGGGGCCGTGCACCTTTAATTACATCTCCCATCTTGGCCAAATGAGCAGCGCTGAAGTAAGCTGTTAAAGATGAGTGGAGTGTGCCCTCACTGGACGCCTCGGGGCTCCTGCTGGGCCGCGTCCAGCCACCATCTGCTACCTGTAACACGCCGCCACGCTCCAGTTAGTAAGCTCCAATTTCCGGGGTCTTCCCCATACACTTTGATGTACAGCTCAAGCCTGAAGACTGCTGATAACATTTCAGCATTTTTTTATTTCATCTCCCCAACTCCCTATAGCTGTCCTGATATTTGCAGTGACAAATCTGAGAGTATTTTAAGAAGAGCAAATGGAGAAATTACACTGTAGTTTATATAAATCTGGAAGAAAAATGAAGCTTTCTTTCTCCCTTTTTAAGTTGATTGTATTCATAATTGAACAGAACAGTTAGTGCTCACCTGGGGTGACTTGCTTGAGGGAGTGTCATAAACAATACACTTTCCTTTTGACATTTAGATATGGGCTTTCATTTATGCTGGAGTCATGAGTGGAGCACAATTTTTAATTTCTGTTTGTCAGGGTATAGTCTCGCTACTGGTAAAAGCATGAACTTTAGAGTAATTGACTTTGAATTGCTCTAAATTTAGCTGTGATGTGAGTGCCTTTGGAAAGTAAGTCTTTCCTCTGTGTTTATCTTAGTTTTTTTTACTTACATATTGGTATCTTGTTTGTTTGTTTGTTTGTTTGTTTTACAGAGGCTCGCTTCCTTGATGTTTTAGGTGTGGGAGGACATGATTAGGTTCATATTGCTGTCATGGCCCAATTTTCCTACATGCTCTAGGTGTGAAGTTCAGACAGATCAAAGACAGATTGCCACATCCATTGGGCGTTTCTTGCCTGTGCCACACGCAACTATGTGGAAAGTTGAATCTCATGGGTGTACTCTAATTCTGGGGGGATGGGGTTTGGGCATTTTGTATTTTTCTGAAACATAAGAGTGTAGTGCAACCTATTTCCAGATTCCAGATTCCTTCAGTAGTTTCCAACAACCAAATGCCAAAATTGGACTGCAGCAATGCTTATTGTGTGAAATGGAATGACGGATTATGTACTTAATAACATTCATAAAAGTCGTGCAGTAAAATGTAACATTGTATTTTCATCATCAGTGTAAAACTAGTGTTATTACTTGCTATTAGGCATACATACAGCAACTAGTTGTAGGATAAATACACCCAAATGTTATACAGTTGCTACCAATATGTATGCATGTGAAGTAGGTGGTTTTGCTGAATGTGCATGTCTAGTAAAGTTGCGGGCATAACAGCGTATGGAACAATACAAAAAAAATCAAAGAAGCAGTGGGGGAGCATATTAGCAATGAGCTAACAGGGCCCAGTTTGGGGCCGAAATAGGTAATGTATGATGAGGGAAGCGAAGGGTCCGAGAGCCAGCTGTTGAAAGGGGGGAGGAGGGGGTCAGTGATGTGTAATTTAGGTTAACAGCAGTGGGGACGTTCAGGCTCTTGGGTTCAGAATGAGAGATTCAAAGCCTGGAGGTTTGGCACTGTCAGGGATCTGGCGTTAAAGGGTTAAGGGTCAAACCAGTGCTGTTAACCTGATAGAATTCACCGGATCTCCGACGCTCACAGAAAAATAAGTACATAAATACCTTCATGTTTGAGCTGATGTAGAGTAGCGTGTGTTTTCGTCTTATAGTACTTGATGAAATGTGCTTGAGCACATTTCCAGAAACAAGAGGATTTTGCTTTTCAGGAGAGGCCTTATGTGATGTCTCGACTGTGTTTTCCGGCATGCCCCTCCGGATTCTGGACTCAGCTCCGCTCCAAGTTTTGCATATTACCCTCATTAAAGTTAATACCCAGCACCTGTGCCTAATTAACTCTCTCTATAAGAGACACCTGTCTCGCTCTATCTTTGTTTGGCTTTAGTTTGTGGTTGAGCAGAGCTTGGGTTTTTGTGATTTTCTGCATTTAGAAATGTTTCCTTGCTTAACTTTGTCTAGTGTTCTCTTTCCCTGATTGTTGTTCTCGTTACATTCTGTTATTAAACTAAATTGGATTTTCAGTTCAGCCCTGGTCTGTTCCTTTGTACCACCCGTGCCACCATATCCCTGCATTTTGGTCATACATTTTTGTGTCACTCACTTTTAATTTAGTAACATAAAAAAGACAAAATTAAAAAAGAAATGCTGGGCTCTGTGGGACTAAAGGGCCAACTGAATAGCACTGGAAATTTCGATAAATAACAACAGACACACGGACATTTGACCTAGTGACCTACTTATCAGCATGATACATTGTGATGTCATAATGTATCAGCCTGTGAAGTTTTGTTGAAATCTGACAATTGGCCCTTGAGTTATGGCTCCGGATGGACGCACAGACAGATGGTGGGAGCTAATTTAAAACCCCCTCAACAACGTTGTTGTGGGGATGAAAAGCAAGTGATACCGTGATACATGATACTGATATATCGATAAGTTGTTAATGATTGGGGAAAGTCTCCATTTTTCACTTCAGATCATGTGTGTCTTACTATAGGGGGGATAAGGGAGCAAAGCTAGTAAAGCAGTGAAGTGGGGTTGAAGTCACTCAAAAATAAATCTTTCTCTAGTGGTTGTGATCCAAGAAATCTAAACTGCTTTCCTGTTGCATTCAAAATAATAAGTGCTGTGGAATCCAGTTTTTGCCCCCTGGTGCTTCTGGCCGATGGGGTATTGTCGCCCCCCCGCCGTCCTGTCTGTCTTTATGTCAGTCTGTCTGTCCATCGCTTGTTGCCTCTCTAACTACTGAGCTGATATAGGAGCAGCTTTCAAATTTAAACAGGTTATGCGTATTGGGTGTCTCCACAAGCCTATTTGACGTCAGGGTCATAGATCTAATTTTTACCTCATTTTTTTGTTAGTCAAAGGTGGGCCATGCCCACCTATAAGGCACTTTGAGGGGATAGATAACACCGAGCGCCATCTAGTTAACATATTCTGTCATTAAAAACTAAGTATGTATTTTTACATTTATACCTGAAACAAAGTGCTTGTTTTGCTTAGATGCTGCCACCACCATAGATCCTTTGTGTTAGCATAATAACTCAAAAACTTTTTATAGGAATTGCACTTTTTATTATCTTTCCTGGCGCAAAGAGGATGAACCCTATTGTTTTGTGTGGCCCAATGACCTTTTCTATAGCGCCACCCCCAAGTCAGACTTTGTGTTTCTAAATGCAATAACTCAAACAATTTTGACGGGAATAATGGCATACTTCTTGTGATTGTTTCAGGGACAGAGAGAAGGCATGTATACTTAGCGTCATTAAAAACACAACGACGAATGTGCTGTGTTTGCGGTAAATCGAAGAATCAATGGATTTTTATTGCTTTTCCAGTGAGATATGAGTGGACATAAAGAAAAGTGCGTGGTATTGCAATGCTGATTCGCGCCACAGGAACACACCAAGCACTTCAGTAATAAACACTGAGCTGTTTGGGATGTGGACAGTGATGCTTGACTTGTTCTTTTGGGTGTGGTTATAGCCTACATAAAGCCAACAAAAAAAATGAACAATGCTGCGTCATCAAGAAAATGGAATGGCTCAGGACACGGGAGAGGAAAAAAAAGCCATTGGCATGTTACGGGCAGGCCTCAGCCGCCGAGAGGTGGTGCGTTATCTGCACTGTCACTGGTCAACAATCAGTTGGCTGTCTATCCGAGAATGGAAAACAGGCACTGTCACTGACCGACACCGCTTAGGGCAGCCACGAGTGACTACAGTAGCTCAAGAGCGCCACCTCTGGTTACAGCCTGTACGTGACAGATTCCGGACAGCAATTCAAACTGATCATGAGACGAGGGGTCTGAGACATCTGAGGGTGAGCGCAAGTCCGTTCGAGGCTGTCTACTTGAGCAACATATGCGTGCACACTTCCCCAACAGAAAACACATTTTTTGCCTGTGCGTAAATGGTTGTTGTTATGTGCTGGCTAATACACTGTAAATTAATATGAAGAGTTGCATGTAGTAACCAGTGCACTACTAACACACTTTGCAGTATGTAATGAACGGTGTGGAAGTTGGAACACGGCTATTGTTCCCTGTGTGCATTTGTTCCATTTTTTAAACCATATGACTTTTAAAAAACTTTCAAAAATAC